GGGTGTCCTGCCCAGCAAAGCCCCACTTGGGAGCCGCTTCAGCCCCGTGAAACGTGACGTTTCTGGAATAGTTTGTCCTTGTTGCTGTTCCTGGGTGTATTTATAGCTTCGCATCCCCTGCGCCTCGAAGCAGCGAGCGGTGCCGGGTCGACTTTAGCTCCGGGCTGATCCCACCTGGGGGAAAAAAAAGCTCAGTTTTATAGGTTGGTGTTGAAAACGGGAATTATGCCATTGTAAAGCCTCGAGGAAGAGGGAGACGATTTGATTTCTGTGCTTGACCTGTAATTTCTGCTGGGCTGATTCAGAGTGGTTGTGCTGTGGGTGCATCATGGAAACTTCAATGGAGAAAAGCAGAGCTAATTTTAACCGGCCGCCTCGCCGAGGTGTGGGAACCAAGCAGTGAAATGCCTCAAACCTTGTTCCTGCTTCTGGGCTGTTCGTTCCGAGATTTTTTTTTAATTTTTTTTTTTTTATTTTCTTGCTTCTGTGGCAACTTGTTAACCTAGAAATGAAAAACAGCACCAGCATCCTGGCAGGGAAGAGTCATGGTTTACAGCCAAGCCACCTCCGAAGCGCCCGGGCTGCTGCAGGGTTCCCAGAGTGTATGAATTAACATAACACAGTTCTCTCCCCTTTTAAAATTATTATTTAATTATTTTAATTTAAAAAAATAATAATAAATATTTTGTTGCTAACAGAACTGTTTTCTCATTTATCCCAAGGTTCAGGAGCCTGATTTTGGCACAGAAGGCTGTAAAGAACAAGGTGGGAGGCAAAGAAACTGCTGGCAATGACAGGCTGCAGGAGGAGGCCGTGAGCTGGGGGGTGGATCTTGCCCCCCACGCTTGGTAAGCAGGTCCCTGTGCTCATGAACTGCTTCATTTTGGGGGTGTTTGGCAGAGACGTGTCTGCTCTGACCATGGGATGGAGCAGAATGGCAGGGAACTCAGTGGTATTTATGCCAACTTAGGGCAGGGCCTGATCCTGTCCCTGTAAAACAACCTTTTTTGGGGTATTTCTGTAGCGGGTTTGTCAGTCCCTGGGGTGTTTAAAGAAAAGGGGTGTAAGGAGCAGCCTGGGAGCTGAGACCAGTCCCTGCCTGGGCTCTGTCACACGGCAGGGTGGGTGCTCAAGCCCCGGGTGCCATCCCGTGCCACTGCCCTTGTCTTTACTGTTCCCCATGGGATGAAGGAATGAATCTGTAGAGTAAGGAGCAGTGGGAGTTCATCCCGCTTCCCAGGGGAGCCCGGCTGAGCCGCCCTGTGTCCGCAGGCACGTCTCCCCGTGGCAGCGCGGCGGGGATGAAGCCGTCGGTCACGCCATGCCCACATGCGGCCCCGGCAGCCCTCCCGTCCCGCTGCCCCTCGGCCTGAGCGAGG